GTATTAGCCATATTTTGCACATATCTGCAGAGTTAATAGATAATTTGATTTAAATCACTAGTATGTTTTCCAATAAAGAGTTCATAATACACAGCAAGACTCAGATTTATCGATTTATTCCCAAACAATAAATTGTAACATATTTCTTTTATGAATTTAAATGTTGCAAAATCATGAAAGATACACTTTATTTTGTAGTTTACTATGTTTTAATTTAGGGTTAACAGTCTGTAAATTTTAAGTCAGTAAAAATTCACACATAAGTGTCCTATATCAGTATTTTGTCCTTTTTTTCAGAGAGGGTGCTCGCTGCAGAGCCATTTGAGCAGAGCTGAGCTCCAGCGAGGGGGAGCATGAGCTCTCGCTCTGCCTCCTGTAAGCTGTTTTAATGCGTACACCAACCCCACCCCTAACCCTACCCCCAGTGACATCACTCGTAGAAGAAGTGCAAAAAAGGTGGAGCTCAAGCTCAAGCTCCCCCTCGCTGGAGCTCAGCTCGCCCAAATGGCTCTGCAGCGAGCACCACTTGTTTTTTCAGATTTCTGATAAAGACGTTTGCAAGTCTTTATACAGGGTAAATGTAGAAATCCTAAAGGTAATTTCAATACCTTTTTAAGACTTAAAACTTTTTAAGACTTTTAAAGACCTTCTCAACATATTTTAAGACCTCGTCGCCACTTTTAATGGTTTTAATCAGTATCAAACCTTTAACTTAAACAGTTGTAGGTAAATGGAGCACAACCATTCAACAAAACTCTGATAATTTCGGAAGAAACAAAGCTTGAAAGAATAAATTAAGCTGTTGTTTTCAGCGACAGGCTTTAGCCACTGTTTAAACACGTCTTTCTCCAACCAGGAGTACTTACATTTTGCCGTCTGTTCTATGGTTTCGCTTAATGTGGAGAGCGTCACATCTCCTTCCCGCGTTTGTCGCAAATTACGTGACATCTCCCGAACGGAGGAGTTGACCGGACATGAACCGGCCTGAAACAATCTTGTGGATCGAGCACGCTATTGTTAACATTAGGAGGAAAATAAATATATATTTTTGCTTTTTTTTTGGAGTCAAATACTTTGGACAACGCTTGACCAAAACTTAAGACTTCATAAAAAAGAGATTTAAACGTTTTAATACCCTTTAAGGGCCTTAATTTTCTCATAACTGAGTTATTAACTTTTAATGCTTTTTAAGATCCCGCGGACCCCCTTTTATAAACCCTTATTCGTGTGTTGATGGTCTGTCATTAACTACCAGTTCAATAAGCATTTCAGACCACAAGATGATGACAATCTTTTAACTATTCTGCATTTTTTTCAGGATGTAACTTATAATATGCAACAGCTTAGAAATGAGCAAATTAAAAACTTACTTTGAAAAACAATAAATATTTTCATCCAAATATAACACTTAAACAGTTGAAGAAATCCTGTTGGAAAGTGTTAGCCATATTTTGAACATATCTGTAAAATTAATACCTTATTTAATTCAAATTACCAGCAAGTTTTCCTTTTTTCAGAGCACATAATATCTAAAAAGACTCAAATTTAAGAAGTTTTAATTGTAAATCATTTTTATGAATACAATACTTCAATTGTAATAAAAACTAAAAAATGTACACTGTATTTTAGGGTTAACAGATAAGTCTGTAAATCAGTATCCGAGCTGTAACTTATCAGTATTTTTTCCCTTTTTTTCCAGTGCTCTGATTAAGATTCTATAAATCTTTATAAACCCAGGTCTGTGTTGACGTTTGGTTCAGTTTAATTAGCATTTAGGACCATAAGATGATAACAAACTTCTAAATATTTGTTATTTTTTTAGGATGTAATAGATCATATGCAACAGGTTAGAGTTGAGCAACTATAAAACAACAACTATTTCTGAAAAACAACTATTTTATCCCAAATAGTACACATAGATGGTCAAAAAATCCTGATGGAAAGTATTAGTCATATTTTGAACATATCTATACAATTAATAGATAATCTGATTCAAATTACCAGTGTTTTCTAAATTTTAGCGTTTCAATAAAGAGTACATAATATTAAACAAGACTCAATTTAATGCAATTTTAACACATAATAATGCAATTTTAACACATTTTTATGAATATTTATGTTGAAAAATCATGAAAGATATGCTTTGTTTTGCAGTTTATTATGTTTATTTTAGGGTTAACAGTCTGTAAACTTTTAAATAGTGTCCTAACAGTAAATTATCAGTATTTTTTTCCCTTTTTTCAGTGTTCTGATAAAGAATTTTATAAATAAAGGGTTGTGTGTTGATGTTGGTCATTAACTACCAATTAGCATTTAGGACACAAGATGGGCTTTTAATTATCCATCATTCTTGCAGGATGTAATTGATGATATGCAACAGGTTAGAATTGAGCAACTTAAAAACTTATTTTGAAAAACAACAAAGATTTTAATTCAAATTAAAATCCAAAACCATATTTTGAACATATCTGTAAAGTTAATGCATAATTGGATTCAAAACACCAGTATGTTTTCCTTTTTTCAGTTCACATAATATCTCATACAACTTAACATTATCAAGTGTTAATTGTAACACATTTTTATGAATACAATACTTTAAAAATGTTAATCCAGATCCAATAATCCAAATATAACACATAAATGGTTGAAGAAAGACATCCACTGTGCAAAACATATGCTGGAATAGTTGGCGGTTCATACCACTGTGGTGACCCCTAATAAATAAGCCGAATGAAAATAAATAAATGAATGAAGTCTTTATAAACCCAGGTTTGTGTGTTGATGTCCGGTCATTAACTACCAGTTCAATTAGCATTTAAGACCACAAGACCATAGCAATCTTTAAAATATCTGTTGTTTTTTCAGCATGTAATTAACAATAAACAACATGTTATAGTTAAGCAACAAAAAAAAGATTTTAATCAAAATATAACACATACATGTCAAAGAAATCCTATTAGAAAGAATTTTCCATATTTTTGATCTGAAATCTGGAATTCCAACATAACAACAAGTGGGTCTGAAGGACATTTAGTTCACAATAGGACTATTAGGTTTTCAACAGGATCATATTTCCATGTAGAGCATCACCAGGAATTCAACGCAAATCTTTCAGAGGTTTAAAACGGCTTTTAACTCCAAAAAGAATGTGCTCAAACAAGCACGCTTCAAACACACAAAGGGAAAATAGGGCACAATGTACTCCATTAATATAAAGGAACTTTCCATATAATTCTATTAAACAGTAGATTTTGGCAGAGTATTACATTTAAATTTAGGGTGAACAGATATGTCTGTACAATGTATATGTTATATATCAGAAAATCACAAGTATTTTTCATCACATTCAGTGTTCTGATAAAGATTATACAATATTCAACATGATTCAGACTTATCAAGTTATTCCCACCTAGTGTATTAAGAGTTGTAATAATATTATAAAGATAGTTTACACTTGATTAAACAACTTTTATTAATGTAATACTATAAACTATAACAATCTAATATGTTTTTATTCTAACTTGATTCAAATGTTTTATAAAAATTAAATCATGAAGAATACTATTCTTACAGTACATTATTTAATATTTTAGAATTAACATCTATAAATTTAATAAATACTGTCCGAGCAGAAAATTGCCATGAGGAATTAAAAGAAAAAAAAGTACAAATATTTGACATATTTTTTAAAAATTCTGAGTGATTAAACTAATTTTGAGTGAATAATTTTGTGTTTTTTGAGTGAAATTAAGTGAACAAAAACAAAGATTTGATTCTATTTAAAATATATTAAAATTGCTTTGTTTAAAAGCATCCATTGTTTATATATCTATTTGCTAAATTACATGACAATACAGATATATCTGATTCATGAAACCCCTAGAGGTATAAACCTAAAGTTAAGAAATCTGACCTAAAGAAAAAGAAGTGCAACAATACAAAACCACATATTCAGAGCATAAAAACCAACATAAAATATGCAATGATATTAACGTTTTACCAATGCAAACCCTCATTTAGCAAGTCAAAAAGCTTCTCTGAACAAGCTTCTCAAACAAAGTCATGCATACAGACAGACAGCGCTGTTGTAATGTAAGAAATCCTTTTCTCTATAGTCGAATTCAAAATTCTCTTCTGTGAATTTTTATTTTCTTTTTCAAATATTTCCAGACAAAGCAAGGAATTTTCACAGTAATTCCTATAATATTTTTTTTTCTCCTGGAGAAAGTCTTATTTGTTTTATTTGGGCTAGGATAAAAGCAGTTTTTTTTTAAAAAAACATCTGAAGGTCAATATCATTAGCCTCTTTAAGCATTATTTGTTTCCAACTGTCTACAGCAGTGGTTCTCAAACTTTTTTCATCAAGTACCACCTCAGAAAATAATTGTCACTCCACCAAAATGAGCAGTATTGAAACACAGTAGCGAAGTAGGCCCAGTAAAGCAGCTACAACTTTGCACAGTTAAAAATTGTGGCAGATTAGCTTAGAAATATAGGCTATATGTAATATATAACATATCATATACATCATTTTTGATAAATTTTGAAATGTGTGTAGCATGTACATGACATTTCATTCCTACGCGTACCACTAGAAAGAAACATGTGTACCAGCAGTGGTACACGTACCATAGTTTGAGAACCACTGGTCTACAGAATAAACCAGTTATACACTGACCCGCCTAATTACTGTACATTGCCAAATTAAACCAATTTAGCCTTTAAATGTCACTTTAAGTTGAATACTAGTATCCTGAAGAATATCTACTCAAATATTATTTACTGTCATCATGGCAGAGACAAAATAAATCAGTTATTAGAAATAAGTTATTAAAACTATTATGTTTAGAAATGTATTGGAAAAATCTTCTCTCCGTTAAAAAGAAATTGGGGAACAAATATTCTGGAGGTCTTCAGCTAATACCAAGTCTCTTCCACCAAACAGCATCAACACAAGCCCAAAGACGCCGCCACACCAAACAGGCACACAAACGTCTCACCTTGTTTCCCAGAAGGCGATCGTGTGTCCCGCTGACATGCGTCCTCTCTAAAACCTCATGTATCCTGCAGTGCCGTCTACATTCCTCCTCAAACACCAAAACATACCGACTCCCACGTGAGCGAGCGGGAACTGAAACAGCTTGAGACGGGAGGCTGTGTCCTTCTTCCTCCTCCCCTTCTCCCACACACCTTCCCCTTCCCCCTTTCCTTGTGTCCGGGATCGACTGTGAGATCGGGAGCAGGAATGCTTGTGGTCTGTCTGAACGGCTCTGCTATAATGAGCCTGCGGAGAGCATCGCATTTACACAAGAATTCAAACCCGCCTCTCTGAAGTGCAGACTCCGCCCACTCCTCACACCTATTCACCAGAGCTCCACCCACAGCTGAGGAACTTTTCTGACAAAGAATTTCACACCAGAGCACATTTTAAAGGAGAGTAAAAAAGTTGTTATTTTAAATAAGCTTCATTTAGGGACTTTTGTAATTGTAATATTTGGACTTCTTTATGATTTATAGTCTTCATTTCTATCATGTGTCTTGACAATTTAATTTTGTTTGTTTGTTTGTTTTGGATAGTTATATCTTTTTGTGTTCTTTTTTCGTGTTAACATTATTCTCAGTGTTGCTGTATACTACAGCAATGAATGTTTTTTTTTTTTTTACTTTGGTATTAATATGTTAAAATATAAATCAAAGTTCTACCCTTAGACATATGTTTTTTTAATTAATACAAAACTGTTGGTTTCACATTTTATAAATATATAATTTGATGTCATTATAATACTGTAGGAATGTATTATATACAGTGCTCAGCATAATTGAGTACACCCCATTTTGAAAATGAATATTTTGATCCATTTCTCAGTGAATATGGGCTATGTATTTTGGTGCATTTAAACAAAACAGATTTATTAAACAGATATATTAATGAAAATAATATTTTAGTCACCATAACTTTTTTACTCTCCTGTAAAATGTGCTCTAGTGTGAAATTCTTTGTCAGAAAAGTTCCTCAGTTGTGGGTGGAGCTCTGGTGACTGGGTGTGAGGAGTGGGCGGAGCCTGCACTTCAGAGAGGCGGGTTTGAATTCTTGTGTAAATGCGATGTTGAGTACACCCCAATTTGAAAATGAATATTTTGATCCATTTCTCAGTGAATATGGGCAATGTATTTTGGTGCATTTAAACAAAACAGATTTATTAAACAGATATATTAATGAAAATAATATTTTAGTCACCAAACATATTTATAAATTTAAAGATAATACAAATAAATCCAAGCTAAACCTTGCAAAAAATGTTAAAACCCACAGAATTTAAACAAAACTTTTCTCTTTTTTTGCTTCTCTTGATTTTTCCCCTTTTTTAAAATTTGTATTTAATATTTTTCTATAACATAAATTTGGGTGTATTGGACCGTTTGTTAGATAAGCTCCAGATTTTTCTTCAGTACTGACTAATCTAATGTATATGCACAAAAAATAATATTGTATTGCTTCCTATTAAAAATATAAATTTAAAAGATAGATTCGTGAGGGGTGCACTTATATATATATATATATATATATATATATATATATATATATATATATATATATATATATATATATATATATGGTTTCCGCTACATTCATTCTTCCATGGCAAGGCGCCACGCCAAAATTGATCCCACAATCCTACAGCTTTTTATTCAAAACATTCAGTAGTGTTTTTTTTTTTTTTAATAGCGGGTGATAATCGTACCAAAACATATTAAAAAGTAAATGAATTATAACAGCGCAATCTTTTCTGTTAGCATAGTAGTGCTGTGCGTTATTTGTTTAACACTTTAAGGTTATGTGCTGATTGACTGACTGACTGACTGACAGGTGCGGGATGCGTGAGGCCAAACGTCAAACATGATGTATAGCCGTTACTTCAGGACTCATAAATATCGCTCTGTAGGTCTATTGGAGACATTCATAAATATTCCTAGCAAATCTAATAAGTGTTGGAGACACACTTGTTACACAAACGCACTAAATCGCACTTCAGCAGCGTTTATTTAAGAGCGCCCAAGAAGATCTGCGCTTGAGCAGTGTATATCTGAGGGGGCGTGCAAGAAGTTTTGTGCACGAGCAGAGGAAATTGGCGTGCAAGCAAAGAGATCTGCATGCTCGTAGGCTATTATATAAATGCGATCTCGACTTGTAATACTGCGCTCACGACATTTGTCATTGAAATAACGCCACAGGTAGTTGGTAGATTTGTGTAAAAAAGGCCTGCCGCCACAACTTGAAAAAAATCCAAAAGGAAACACTAATAAAACACTAAAAATGTTTTTTGATTTTAGTTTCTCTTGATTATTCGCCTACGTTTAAAACTGGGCTACTAATTTTTGGACAGTTTTCCTATTTTGTTAGAATAGTTCAGAGTGTGGCTTAAGCGCTGACTAATCTAATGTATTTGCACAAATATAATATTGTAAAGCATCCTGTAGACTCCTGCAACTTGTACAAATATGAAAATGTATACATTTATTTTTCCCCAAACTATAGTCCTGCAACACATATACATATGAAAATATAGTCCTGCAACATATATAAATATGAAAATATAGTCCTGCAACATATATAAATATGAAAATATAGTCCTGCAACACACATAAATATGAAAATATAGTCCTGCAACATATATAAATATGAAACTATAGTCCTGCAACACATATAAATATGAAAATATAGTCCTGCAACATATATAAATATGAAAATATAGTCCTGCAACACATATAAATATGAAAATATAGTCCTGCAACACATATAAATATGAAAATATAGTCCTGCAACATATATAAATATGAAAATATAGTCCTGCAACACATATAAATATGAAAATATAGTCCTGCAACATATATAAATATGAAAATATAGTCCTGCAACACATATAAATATGAAAATATAGTCCTGCAACATATATAAATATGAAAATATAGTCCTGCAACACATATAAATATGAAAATATAGTCCTGCAACACATATAAATATGAAAATATAGTCCTGCAACATATATAAATATGAAAATATAGTCCTGCAACACATATAAATATGAAAATATAGTCCTGCAACATATATAAATATGAAAATATAGTCCTGCAACAAATATAAATATGAAAATGTATACATTTAGTTTTCCCCAAACTATATATTTTCACCTATAAACATAACCCATATTTTCAGTAATCACCCATCACGACTTGCTACAACACATTATCCCTGACCTCTACAAAGAACACCTATTATTTGCCACAGTACCATTCCGAAGAGGTTAAATGTGAATATTTGGACAGAAGAGCACGCATATGTCTGAGTGAAGATAGAGGTGTGATTGGTAGAGGCAGTGGTGTTGTTGTCATAGCACCAGAACCGAAGGAAGAGAGAGACGCAGACGTCAATGATGACGAGCCTGGCAATTTCAGCACACACACACACACACGCACACACCTTGAGTAGGTATTCTGGGACGGCAGGCAGTGGCTACAGTGTTTAGGATCATGTGATCTGCGATCTGCTTTGCATACAGAGCAGCAGACGCCCGGGGCCAGACGGAGACTGCTTTAACCCAGAGACGGAAAGCTCTAGACACAGCCGTCGCCACAACACACACTGAATGAGAGGGCATTTCATTTTCAGACAGGGACACACTTTTACATGCTCTAAAAAAACAGCCAATCACTAACACTAAACATGACAGACTCAGTTCTATAACATAATACCATAATATAATAACATCAACAACTCAACACTTGACCCTCAGGCAGACGCCACACATCTCTGTGCACTAGAACATCTAAACATAAAAACAGGTTTTTCCTCAGGCGATATCCATCGTAAATAACTAGCACATCAATTGCTACCTGCTTTTATGCTTATAATAACCAAAACAGTTCTGTTAATGTGTTAGTCCTTCCTAAAATATATAGATACTGTCACAATCTGCAAGCCTGGATCGCTGGTGAACACACACCTAGACTACACCCGGACTACAATTCTGTCACTTTATGAACTACATTTCCCATCACGCAACTCACACACACACCTGTTCCGGTTCTCTGATGATTACACACAGTTGGAAGCCGATCAAGGACTTATTACAAAGACTATTTATACACCACACTTGCACACACACACACTTGGCTGAGTCTTGTTAACTGTTCATCTGTAATATCACAAAGCAATTCTTTAAGTCTTTCTGTGTTTGATCTTAGCCTTGTTTTCTTGTGTATGTTGTTTGCCGTCTGTATCAACCTCTTCGTCTGTGACTTTGACTATGCTTCTGGATTACCCCTATACTGTTTGCACCTGTTTGACTGCTGCCTGCCTGATCATTCTCTGGTTAATAAACTGCACGTGGACCCCCAACTCCGTTGCCAGCATCCTTCAGTTACAGATACAATGCTTATTAATTAAAAACTTTATTAGTGCTGGGCAAAAATTAATTGTGATTAACCACATCCAAAATAAAAATTTATTTTGACATAAAATATGCATGTGTATTATGTATTAATAATTATTGTGTTAATTATCATATCTATGTGATATGTGATGCAAATCAATTTTGTTACATAGATATTTACGTTCATATATAATTTGTATCACATATAATTTATTTCTAAATATAACAACCGAAGCTCATTCTGAAAATGTACCGCTATATACATTTCTGGAGAGTGCCAAATATGTCCCAGGAGCTACATTTTATTGGAGTTTTTGTTTTCGCTAATCCACTAGAGGCCGCTGTGTACGCTTTTTCAGATCTCGAAGTTCTCTCGTGTGTTATTCGCGCCTGCTGTTCTCAAGTAAATCCACCAGAGGGCGCTGTGTATGCTTTTTCAGATCTCAAATTTCTCTCGTGAGTGCCATTCGCGCCTGCTGTTCTCACGTAAGTCCACTAGAGGGCGCTGTGTATGCTTTTTCAGATCTCACTTTTTTCTTGCGAGTGCCATTCGTGCCTGCTGTTCTCACATAAATCAACCAGAGGCCGCTGTAGAGTGAATGAATGACAGACTGAATGACTGACTAACTGACCAATCAACTGATCCCCCATTTTCATTCTCTAAACCCAACCAATAGTGTTTTCAAAAGCACCATTTGACAAACCCAACGCCTTTCCTAAACCCAACCGACAGTTTTCCTGAAAAAATCCAAAAGCAATCCAGAAAAAGAAAAGCTGAACACATTTACTACATTCTCACCCTGTTATTTACTTGTTTATTTATTTTTTTGCTTATGTTTTTGTTTTACCTGCTTTCTGAAACTGTTCTTCACCAGACTCGAACCCCATTGTCGTGGTCAACTCCTCTTAGCCTCTCAAGTCCGCCAACGTACATGGCGAGTTAA